TCGAGATCAATGAAAACCTCAACTTTGTGGAGGAACCGATCGAAATCATGGATCGAGAAGTTAATCGTACAAAGCAAAGTTGCATCCTGTTAGTGAAGGTTCGCTGGAATGCCAAGTGGGGACCGGATTCACTTGGGAGCGGGAAGACTCAATGAAACAGAAGTATCCACAACTCTTTCCAGATCCATGATGTGATCTTGTCTCGTATCTGACTTTGAATTTCGGGACGAAATTCCCTCCAACGGGGGATAATGTAACAACCCAAAATTCCGTATCATTACTTGTAACTCTTTTCGTAATTCAATTCGACCAACCAATCGTCGTTTTCAAATCCGATTCCGATTTCGTTATTTAATTAAGTCATTAATTTGTACCTATCTAATGTGACTTAATGGGTGTCTAATGCATTTAGAAATCATTCTATCACCCTATTCTAGTAATCGGAACATTTTTTAGAATTTACCATATCGGGTTACGACAACTTAATCGAGTGCAACCAAAAGCCCCGCTAAACGCCGGTATTGGGTAGAATTCCACCATGTCCAAAACATAGACACTATATAAAGTGTTCTAAGCCTTCATTTGAATCTTTTGGCTTCATCTCACTACTCTCTCTCTAACCTCTCTCCTCATCCAAGATTAAGGTCCAAAAACATAGATTTAAGGCTTCAAATCATAGAGGTAACCTTCCTAACTTGTTATTCAACCTCTTAGGCCTTCAAATCCATGTTTAAATTGTGATTTTGGACCTGGAACATGTGTTTATGGCCAAAGAAGCATGCTTGGGCCGTAAACACATAATATTGGGTTTTTGAGCAAGTTAACCCTTCCAAACCAACATTGGGAACTTAGATACGACCTTGAGGCTTACAAACCTAGACTTGGAACACCTTAAACTTGAATTTTGAGGGACAAATGAGAGTTTACGACCAAGACATATGCTTGGGCCGTAAACACCTCAAACATGGGGAGTAAACTCTTTAAACATGTTCGAATGCCTTGTAACCTAGAACCATCTAAAAATAGTTTGGGACCTTAAACACATCAAACACTCTCCATTTCAGAGTTTACGGCCATAGCACATGCTCCTGGGCCGTAAAATCCTAATTTTTTGTTAAATGGTGCCCTAAAGTCATAACAAGCCTTGGAAAATTAACTATAATCACATGTGATTGTCCTAAGAACCTCAAATTAATTTTGGTTTGAGCTTGGGGGAGTTTACGGCCGTAAACTCCATGTTTACAGCCGTGAACTCCCATAAATGGTGTATAAGTCCATACAAATTAATCCAAGGCATTTGATGTAACGACCCATTCCCGGTACGTTAATTCATTGGTAATTGTTGTAAGTTTTCAAGAGGGACTCGGCGAGTTCTAGCCTGACTCGCCGAGTAGGGTCGCGCCGAGCACGCGTGAGCCGGGGACTCGGCGAGTCCATATCCCTGACTCGGCGAGTCCATCCGTCTGGGTGAAACCCTAAATCCCCGGGTTGCCCACTATTTATACCACCTTATAGCCCCCATTCTCGCCTCCCTCACCCTGAGAACGCAGTGAGAACCCTAATCCTCCCTTGAAGAGCTTATATGTGTTTTGGTGCCATTTTGTGAAGGTGTGAAGAAGGAGAAGAAGAAGAAGCAAGGAGAAGTGTTGTAGTGCAAAGATCCAAGGCCAAATCAGAGTTAATTGAGGTATTTTCGGAGTTCCATCTTGTTATATGCTTTAAACTTCCATTAGAGCTCTCCTAAGAGCTAGTTGATGCTTGTTCCAAGCCTTACACTTGCATGAACGTCTTATTAAGTCGAAATCTATGGATCTGAATGTTGGGGTGTTGTAGAGCCCAGATCTACTGTCTTTTTGGAGTTATATTGCATGATAACCATAGATCTACCCATTTTGTGCATCTTTTAGCCTTATTTCCCTTATTCATGAGGTTGTACACGTAAAGTTGGAAACTTTACGTGGTAAATCAGCTTATTGGACTCAGATCTATCAATTGTATGTGTTGGATTCAAACAAAATCAAGTAAAAATCAGTTGCATGGCGGCAACTCGGCGAGTTGGAAGAACGACTCGGCGAGTTGGGTCGCGAGTTCCCGATTCCTTCAGTTTTATCAGTGTCGAGTGGACGAGGTGAGTTAGGGAGTGGACTCAGCGAGTTGAGAGTAGACTCAGTGATGGAGGGACTCGGCGAGTTGTTCATCAACTCGGCGAGTCCAAGGCAATCTTCTTAAGATCAAGAACAACTCGTCGAGTTTGTTCATCGGCTCGGCGAGTCGGATGAAGATTGTCTGAGTTCTTGGATCAAGAGGGTACTCGTCGAGTCGATGCCAGACTCGACGAGTAGCAGCGAGTAAGAGTGAAAAGTGAGAGTAGGACTCGGCGAGTTGGGTGGCCCAACTCGGCGAGTCAGCCCAAAAGAGAGTACTTTGACCAAGGGTAAAAGAGTCATTTTACCCCAAGCGCAGTGTTTAGTATTTGATTGAGTGTGTTTATGGACTTGTAGCCGAGGAGATTCAGGAGCAGCAGCCGTTAGCTTCCCGAGCCACACACTCAGCAGCCAGCTTACGAGGTGAGTTTCCTTCCAGTAGGAACGGGTCTAAGGCCACAATGCCGGCCCGTTCAGTTAGCAGTAGTTTCCGGATTTAGGTCCGATGCAGTAGTTAGTATGTTCGATGCCTTCGTGGCTCGAACAGGATTTGTGTGCTATGTTTTATGCGTTAAGTATTATGTGTTCCGGGCTACGGCCCGATGTAGTATGCGTATATGTGTTATGCTAGTTGATGTGTTATGCTATGCCATGTTCAGTCAGTCAGTTCCGGACTTCGGT